TCCACAAGCCGACAGGACCACCCTGCCTCACAGCTCCATCCTTCCCCCCACCCCCAGCCCAGCCATTCCTTCCAGGCGGACTCCCGGATTGTTCCCCACCTCAGACCCGAGGGGGCTTCAGGGCGACCCCCGGGCAGCCTTCGCACTCCGGGGCGGCGCAGCCCCAAATCCTGGTTCGAGGGAGGGAGGGAGAGAGAGAGGGACAGGCTGAGGGGGCGACCGTTGGGCCTGATCCTGCCCGGCGGGGGATGGGCCACGACGGGGAAAGGTCCTCCTCCTTTCCTCCTTCTCTTTTTCTCCCGGGCCTTCCCGCCCAGGACCTGGGGCTCCGCTCAGGATCCCAACCCCGGACCCCCGGACCCCCTCCCGCGCCTCACCTGGGCTGCTGGTTTCCATTCATGGAGCTCGGCGGGGCCGCTCTGAGGCGACGGCGGGGGGGAGCGGGGCAGGCCTGGCTCTTCTCAGGCGCCGGACCGGCCGGGCCTGAGGAGGAGGAGGCGGCGTTGGCGGCGGCTCCCCTTCTTCTTCTTCTCGCCCGCCCGGCTCGACCCCCGGCCCCTTCTCTCCGCCCGTCCTTTCTCTCCGCCCGTCGGTTGGGGCTGGGGCTGAGGCGACGGGCGAAGAGGAGGCCGGCGTGGCGTGGGTGGGCAGTGGCGGCCCCCGGCTTCCTCCCTTCAGCCCCGACGGGCAGACTGGACGGAGCCGCCCGACTTTCCCCCTCAGCTTCCCCTCTCAGGGGACCAGGCTCCGGCGCTCGAGAGGGGCGCGCGCATGCGCAGAAGCCCGCTCTCCGCTCCTCCTCCTCCTCCCGGAAGTCTCCCCTCCCACCCTCACCCCGTGGTCCAGCAGATTGACAACACCCCCAATCACTCCGGGAAGCCACTGCGCGTGCGCCCCGCCTCCCTGACCGCTTTCCTGCGCATGCGGAACTCTGGCCTGCCGCCGCCCGGAAGTTCTTTCCCGCTTCAGCCTCTCAGGCTCTCGCTCCCTCAGCGCGCGCAGATTGGCGCTCTTTCTCAAACGTTCCATCTCAACTCCTCCCCCCCCCCACTCTCCCTTCACCTCGGTCGCTCCCGGCATCAAGCCCACGCGCGGCGCATGCGTATTACTACCGAATCGCTCCTCTGCGGCGTATGTAAACTAAGGGGCGGGGCTACGACCTAAGAAGGCGGGGTCAGGGAAGGCTGGTCGAGGGGGTTCGAATCCCGCCTTGTGCAATTAACCTGCCTTGCAGGGTTGTTTTTAGTTATTATTAACGTTATTAATAATGTTAATAATAATCCATGATAGATCACCATTTTCAAGGTTGTGCAATGACATTCTTGACGGTAGTTCCAAACTTATGTGCTGTTATTAATGTCCTAATTTCGCAGAGCTGATGGTGCTGACACCCAGGTTGGCTTCTTGGGGGAAATGACCGTAAAATGCAAGTTGCTACCAAGCTCCTCCTTAGCTAGTAGTCTGGAAGGCATGGCCCACCTTGTTAAACAGAGGACAGCTACAGGCAATCGGGGTTTCCTCATCCGATGAGGACTGTGGCTGGATTTTAATTTGAACCGGGCTCTCCTCTGTTCTAGCAGAACACATCCACCACTACACCCTGCTTTTGAGCCTTTGCGGATGCTGGCTGGGATCCGCAGCCATTACTTCTGTCCTTGGTACTGGACTCATAAGCCTCCCCTTGGTTCCTCTTCCAGATCATTTCCCCAAGGAAAACCCAAACAGTTTTAGAAATACTGTACACTAAGTGAAAAGAACAGGGCAGTCTGAGCAATGCAAAGAAACTAAAAAAATAAAAAAAAAATCAAAAAAATCAGTGTATTGTTGGCAAACACAAAAGCTACATATGTAGTTGCCTTGAACCATGTCATCCTTTTTTTAAATCTCCCTCTCTCACTGACATACATAGAGAGACAGACAGACACACAAAATCAAAATGTGCCCCTGAAAAAAGCAGACTCACTTGAGACACCGACAGGCAACTCAGAAGCAAAAACAAGAGGAACGTTCCAGCCACAACTATGTGTGGTCCATAAGGGACAAACAATCAGGGTGATGGATACGGGATAGCCTGGCTAGCAAAGAAGGGGGCCCAGCAAAATCTATTTTGTCCCTCAAATACCACAAAGCTTACATTTTCACGGCTTCCTCTTGGTCCCACCATTTTCACAGGTGTGTTTGGTGGGGACATGGGAGAGGGCCTGTTGTGTGGCTGCTCCATTAGACTCTGGAACTCCCTCCCACTGGAGGCCAGCCTGGCCCCATCTTTGCTTTCCTTCCACAAGCAGGTAAAGACATTCCTCTTCAGGCATAGTAACCAGCTACCTGATGGATTGCTATGTATTACTGCTTGGACTATGTTTTAAGTACCGATGGTGTTTATCGTTTCTCAGGGTGGCATTTGTTTGTTCCTTTTTAATATTTGTGTGCTTACCGTTTCTAGCTTTAAATATTGTCTTCTAATGTTGCAAGCTGAATGGGGAGTCTTCTATCCACTACCCCACACTGAATCTCTGGTATCGCATATAGCAATGTTACAGACCAGCAGTTCCCAACCTGGGGTCCCCGGATGTTCTTGGACTAAAATTCCCAGAAGCCTTCACCGCTCACTGTGCTGGCCAATATTTCTGGGAGTTGCGGTCCAGGAACATCTGGAGACCCCCCAGGATGGGAAATGTTGACAAGCCACCGACAAAGGTCTGGGCTAGGTACAGAAACAAGGGGCAGCCACAACAGATCCAACCCATCTTCTCCAAGGTGGCTCTGGACAGAGGCAGCATCAGCAGCACCGAGGAGGATAGTAGGAGATGCTGGCTGACTTCAGGTCCACCTCGCTACCATTCAAGGAGGCAGCTTCAAAGGGAGAGCACTCCTGACGGTACATTTGGGTGGGTTGGTTGGAGCTTCTGCAAGCAGCCAGCCCCGGCGTTCCAAGTCCTGGACGCGGCGGATCATGTTCAAAGATTCCAGGGCAAGACCACTCTGGAACCTCAGACATGAATGGGCTTGCAGGTCTTGGATGCCCATTGACTCCTTCAACTCCCAGTCCAGGGCCGGCAGTCAAGTCCTGCGTCACATTCCTTGAACAACGGTGACCAGAGGCTAGCTTCCGAAAAATGTAAGCTACACGACATTCTCTGTTAAAATAAAATTAAAAAGCGACGCGTTTGCCTCTCTGGAGAAGAACGACGCGGCAGTAGTTCAAATCTGTTTAATCAACAGACCGTACAACGTTCAACTTCAAATAAAAAACACAAACAAGAAAACAAAACAAACATTAACCCAAAAAAAACAAGCCAACCGTCAGTGTGTTGTGTGAACATTCTCTATTTACACTTCCTTGTAACAGGTTTCGTTTTTTTTAAAAAAAGGAAAACAAAAACAACAGTTTTGAACGCAAACCCGATTTGCCACCAATTTAAAACTCTCACAATTATTTGCAAGTGCAAAATTACATGCGCAGGTGCGATAACAGGTTTCGCTTTTTAAAATTATTATTGCTGTTCTGCTGTGTTTGCCCACCATGCGGGAGAAAACACAGCACGTTGGCGCTGGGGGCTGCCAAGATGCTCCATAAACGAAACGCAGAAGGGGGGAAGAGGAAAAATCATCATCATCTTTGTGGAACTCTTCCAAAGGTGATGTTTTTGTACAACACCCAGTTTCAGGGCTCAGCAGCTGCTCTCTTGATCCCCAAAGTTCTATATATATTTAAAACAAAAAAAACCCAAGTATGATTTATCTGTTTCAGGCCAAACTCTGGCAGTTGAAAACCATTATGCAAGTTTCAGAGTCAAGGAGGTGAACAGACAAGAAAAGCCGCCCTTCCTCAAGACAAAAGACAAGCCACTTTTTCCATAAAGATATTTCCACCCAGCTTTTATGATTCCAGACATTTGCCACAGTGCCCGCTTTCGCCGTCTGTAGAGCCAAGGGCTTGATCTACACCACCTAAAGAGTGCTGTGTAACTTTAAAAGCTTGCATCCATTGAACAAAATGAGGGAAATGTTCCAATACCTCTATTTTGAATTGGATAAAATGATATTTTGGGTGTAAGCCTTGGGCCACGGGATTGGGAAAAAAACATATGGTTCCCCCCAAGGTGTCCCATCAACCCCAGCCATGTTGGCTGCAGGGCAGGGACGATGGGAGTTGTGGTCCAACAGTCTTTGGAGACCCATAGGTTTCGATACCTTTGCCATTCACAGCTTAGGGGCAAAGAACTTTCAAACCGGTTCCAAAAAGCCCCGCTGAAATGTAGAGACAATGCCTTTCGATCCGTGATAGCCCCCTTGCCACCCTGTCCTGCCAAGTTGCTCCTGAAACAGATAAAAATATGTAATTTTTTTTCCCCCAACAACAGTCTATGGCCTGGTGCCACAGCGGAGACCTCAGCATTTCTCCGGCCTGCCACAAAATTTGGGGAGGCAAGCCTTCCCCTTTGTAGGGCCTCCGAGTTCTTTTGAGAAGCATCGTTCTGCTTTCATCATCCTCTTCCACCCAACTGTCTTTCCAGCCTTCCTTACCCTGGTATCCTCCAGAGGTTTAACGGCTTTGCGGCTCCTATCATCCCACCCTGGACCATGTGTGGCCAAGGGAGTGCTGATTGGATTCGAGCCGCACAGCATCCTTCGCCGCGTGTCACCAGCGGTGTGGCTTGTCCGGGGTGGAAAGAAACACCCGCAGGACACCTCTGAAGTTCGCCAGGCTGCAGAAAACTGCCTTTTCCATTTTGATGACATCCAAGCACGAAGTTGGAACTAACAGCAGCACCAGTAAAAAAATAATAAAAAATATATATTAATAAGCCAACAAACTGATAAGCTACATCATTATGGTGCCTCCCCTCACAGGCACAAACGCACACATCCTGTGGGAATTTAACAACATTTTCAGCTGCAGAAAAGGAAGAGAGGCACAGAGACAAGACTAAGGTGCTAGATGGGAGGGTGGAACTCGTTCCAAACAGATTTTTACAGCGCTTCTTTGCAGGCTAGCTCGGCGTGGCCAGAAAAGGCCACGGGGAGACTTTGTGGCCCAAAAGAAAACCAAGAGGGAAAAATCTTCCTCCGTTCTGCAAGAGGACAAGACACCGTTGGGCCAAAGCGAAGCAGGAACGGGAAAGGAATTCTTTGTCGCACGGAACATGCAGGCGGGTCTAATCCTTTAAAAAGAATAAAGAATTTTTTAAAAAAAGGATCGAAAGCCAATGAAAGGGGGGAAATCAGAACAAACTAACCAAAGAGGGGAACAGATTCCCCAACCCAGAAACGTTGTTCTAACGAGGGCGCAGCAATGACGTCATTGTACGGCACTTAGTGAAAACTGCATGCACCAGGTGGGAGGTGGAGGAGAGCCGGACCGGGGTGGTGGTGGTGAGGTTAAGCACTTTGAAAAAGCAAAGCTGCTCCGAGCTGCTTCTGTCGTGCTAAACTCCCCCCTTCCCTTTGAAGCAGCAATCAAACAACGGAGTGCAAAAAATCCAGACGGGGGGCAGGAAAGTAAAACTGTCCAGCACGGGAACAATTCAAGTCTTGGAGGTTTGTTTTGTGTTAAAGCAATTTTTTCTTTTCTTTTCTTAAACCAAGCAGCAAACTTCTCCGAGATGTGGCGTTGTCTGTTCCATTTTCCCATTCTGCAAATGCCCGGGTTGCTTTTGTGTTGTTGTTGTTGCTCAAAATACTTCGGAGCCCCAGCGCAAACGTTGCAGTGGGCCATGCTGGCGGCCTGAACGAAGAATCCCGACACCAAGCAGAGAAAGAGGTGGTCAGGGTGAAGAGACAGCAAGAAGACAGCTGGAGATGCATGGATGTGTTCTCACTTAAAAGCCCACCTCTGTGTGTGTGTGTGTGTTTGATTCCCCTTTGTGGAGAAAGTCGTGGTAAGACACGCTGGCCCCTCGCCAGGAGATGTTTACGCATGACCCATGCAGGCACTTGGTTAAGCCGTTTTGTCTCTCTGCACAGATGCTTTTTGCTCGCAAGACTGCGCCTGAAACAAGAGAGGTCCCAGTTCTGTAGGAGACAGTGCGACCGAGTGAAAGCAAAAAACGAACAAGAGAGGAATCCGTACTCCAAAGAGCCTCCCGTAGATCGGACTTGTGCTTCAAAAGAACAACAGGCAACCATGCATGCACCCTCCCCGAGGGCTGTAGGAGGAACCATTTTACGATCTGGCGAAGCGTCCAAAGTCATTTGCAGTATGAAGCGGAGATGCGATACGAACTAAACCAGCCGTCCCGCCAGCTGGAGCACCCAAAGGGTTGGTGGATCCAGACAATCCTTGTGGGTGAAAACAGGAACGGAAAACGCCCGAGTTGTACAAAAGACGATCTGGCTCCGTTCTTAGCGGCTGTTCTTTGCATAGCGTTGGGATGGGTGAGCACTCTGCCCTGAAGTGGCATCATTGAGGGGGGGGGACAGGTGGCGAGAGAGGAAAGGAAGTTAGAATGAAACCAAATGGGACCTTTGACTGGATGCCGGAAGCACAAGGGACAAATTCCGTCCGTACTGGACAAGGTGCGAAGCGTTTCCTTTAAGGGCAATGTGTTTACAGGAAAATGGCACAGTTACTGTAGAAAGAGCCCCAGCGCAGGCTTAACTTTGTGGGTTTTCTGAAGGCTGACTTTGGCAGTTTAAGAGAGAACTGCAGAGACAACGTGGACCGAACATAAAAGGTCTTTTGTTGTTCCGCCACACAACTGCTTTTGTATTAAAACCACGTCAGCCAAACCTGCTCGTTAGGAGTAAAGCTCAAGCTGAAAAACTACCAACCTAGGGGAAGTTAATTTTGGGGACTTTTAGCTCCTAGAAAACCTCAGCCAGGATGACGTGAAATATTCCAGGAGTGACCGTCTCCCATAGAAAACAAGATCTCCCATCTCTGCCCAGACCTTTCTAGGGCAAGACATCGGAGGCAGAGAAAAGGAGGTTGAAAGGCTAGAGGGGAAAAAAAGATTTCTCATTCAAACCCCAAATCGCGAACTACTTCTATGTATTCTGCGAAGTGCAATTGATGCTTTTGAGTGGAAAGAGGTTGGTAGATTTTGGAGGGACATGAAAATTTAAGGAAGATTTCTCTCCCGCTGCAAACACTTACAAGGTTGTATGCGTGCATGGGTATATATGCAAAGGCAGCTAAAAGGGAAAGGTTCTGGGGCAAATAATAACTCTGTGGATTACAGTGCAATTCATTAAAAAAAACCAATCTCATCCTACTCTTCTCTGCATCCTTCAGATTTCAGGATATAGATGCATCAGCAAAAGTAAGCATAAAGAAATTCGCCTCGTGTTTACGAACACTGCGAATTCTTGGCAGGAAGTGCTAGTGAGAGGGGCATCGTAAAGTAAAAGCTGAGGAATTATGTACGGTTCGAGTACATTTTGGCAACAGACTCAGTATTCGTATAAAAATAACACTCAGTAACAAAAATCTCATCGGTATATATATAAAAAAAAATCAGTTGATAATGGAGTTCTCTTTCACTCCGATGGGGGCAGGCACCCCCATTTGTCAGAAATGAGAGTGGCATTTTTTTTGTTCCCCCCCCTTTAAATTAAAAGGAAGACACTCCCTTTGAGAAATACACTGGAAACAATAAAAGATCAATAAAACAAAACAAAACAGGTTTTATCATCAGCAGCTCTCTTAATTCATATGTCATGGTAAAAGTGCACAGGATTTTAACCCATCGTGAGGCCGTGAGCTAATGTGATACTGCAAGCATTGGGAACTTTTTTTAATAAAAGAAATTCCCGGCACCTTCAAGACGGACATTGGGACCACTGCAGTCTTGTGGGCTTGCTTTTCTCCTTTGAACGGTGAATGAGCGTCAACGTTTACAGTGTTGAAGTAAGGCACTTGCCCGCGGATAAGGATGTGGCCGTTTGCATTGAAAGGGTAGCAGTGAATCCACTTTTTAAACAGATGGAAGACTTTAGTTTCATTTTACGGTTTGTGGTAAGTGCTTGGGGGGGGGGGGCCTTACATTATTATTATATATAAAGGGGAGAAAGAAAATCCTTTTTTTTTTTCGTTCATGGGGAAGGGGTAACAGTGTTAAAATCCATCTATAAACTACTGGCTTTTTCTTCTTCTTCACCAATTAAAGCATTTTGTATCCTAAAATATTAGTTTTTATAAATCTAGTCATCTGTTTTTTTTTTTAAGGCTCTACAAGTCCCTTCG